ATTAAATAATGGTATCTTCAATTGTCTTTATTTAAAACAAGATTCAAAATTCAGGGTCAAATGTGTCACAATTGAAAAGTCAGGAACTAAAGTGACATAAGTGTCAACTATAGGAACTGTTAATGTAATTTACTCTTTTTGGTGTGGGTTTTTCTTGGGGGGGGGGGGGGGGGGGGGGGGGACGTTTGTCTATAACTATTTAAATTGGGGTAAAATAGCTTTAAAAATTATTATTATTATTTTTGATAAAAAATTATTAAAATTTAAAAACAGAATTTCAACTCTTAACATTTTATATAAGTGTGATGTGTTAATAAATTTTTCAAAGAATTTATCATGAAATAACAACATTCAGTCAGATTTTTTTTTTTTTTGTTGATTTCTTCTTCTTTAAACTAAAATCAAAAGTTTGACATTTACTAAATAATACAAAAAGTTAAAAAGTCACTATTTTATTTAAGTCACATCATTTTATTTAAATCACATCATCTCTCTAACATATCACATCAAACCCAACCCAAACCCAACCCATAAAAGCCAATAAGTTAAAAAGTATACTTTTTTAGAATATCCCAAACCAACCCCTAATGTACCTATCTATCTATATAGACATATTATTATATGTTTGGGGTTTGGTTTTTTTTTAGATTTTTGTTGACTATTTTTGTCTTTAGTGTTTTTTTTTTTTAAAATTCAAAAAGTAAAAAGTTCAAAGTTCAAAGTTTTTAGATTGTAGTCGATGAAATGAATCGGAAAATTCAGAAAAAATAAAAAATTACAAAAAAAAGCAAAAAAATAGTAGTTTTTTAATAGTTATTTTGGATTTTTAAATTTTTTTATTTAGAATTTTTTTTTTAAAAAAATTTACTATTTGAATTTGTTTACAAAAAATGGATCAGAAAAGTAAAAATCTTTGAAATAATTTTTTAAAAAATCATAAAGAAAAATAAATTGAAAAAAAAAGGTGGCTTATTTTTGTGTCCCCAAACCCAATCGAAAAAAACAAATAACATTAGTTTTTTGTTCTTGACGCTCGAGCGTTGTGTTCTCCGCTTGAGCGGGAATGTCGTATATCAGTTGGCTGTGGGACAGTTTTAAATCACTTTTTCTCATTCTTTCTCTCTCTTACTTTTCTGAAAAAGCCATTTGAGAGCTCCTCTCTCTAGAACCTTACCTTCTCTCTAGGTATTGATCTAGTAAGAGTTGTCTCCTCACCTTTGGCCTTTACAAAAAGGTTGTTGATCTTCGAGGGCAATCTTTTGATCCGAGAAACTCGTGGTTTGGAGCAACTTCATTTTCCCCATCTTCTCCGTTGGGTGTCATCCTTTGAGGTAGGGATTCCTACTCACTCTTATGGGTTTTAACCTCGATTTTGAGCTTATTATTTAAATGGTTGATTTTGGGACTTAGGGTTTCAAAATGTGTTAAAGAGGGTTTTGTGATTTTGGGCTCATAATATGTATTTTGGGTTTCAAAATGATGATATAGTTGTTGGTTGGTGATATTTGAACATTTGAGTTGATATTGGGAAATGTGGTAGAAAGCCCTAATTTGTTGTTTAAATTAATTGGTATAATTAATTTGGGAAAGTTGTGACTTTGTGGAATTGAGTTGAAAATAATGAAATTGGTTCATTATATGGTTGAATATTGGAGTTAGATTCATTAATCGCTCACCTTTGAAAATATTGATATTTTATCTATTGGAGCTTTTATTATTGGTTTAGAAATAATTGCTTGGGCTACCGGTGGAGGGTAGTTTTGATTGTTGTAGACAATGCATGATGATTAGGCAAACTAAAACTAATCAATTGGTTATGTCATAGAGTATGACGGTTGATAGAATGCATTAACGTTATGTATTGTTTGACTATGTATATGACCTTTGTGTATATACGTTGTGTGTGTGGGAGGAGATAGGTGATGTACTCCACGGTTTAGGGGAAGATAGGGGATGGACCTCTAAACCGGATGTTGTTTGGGAGGAGATAGAGGATGGACTCCACTGATACAGCTTATATGCTTGTCAATAATGTATTGATATAGCTCATATGCTTATCTTTGGAAGTGTTGATACAGCTCATATGCTTGTCATTGGAAGTGTTAATATTGCTAATATGCATATCTGTTAAAACGTGGATACAGCTTGTATGCTTATCTGTTGAGATGTGATACAACTAGTATGTTTATCTATTGTAAAATGGGAAATGTTTAATACGAGTCACTGTCTCATATAAGAGGTTGGCCAAGTTCTGAGCTGTTGATGTAAATTGTGAAACTGATAAGAAATGGAAACGGGTTATGAATTGGTTTATGGAAATTGAACATTTATCAATTGCTAATGTCGTAGTTATTGCTCATACTGTGTTTAGCATATCTCTACTGGGCGTTGGTTCACCCTTTATGGGATATTATTTTCAGGTACAGGTAGTATTGTAGGAAAAATAGTTTAATATAGGCATATTTTTTAGCCCAAAATTTGAGTGGGCCCCAAACGTTGTTTGGGGTGGGTCCGAAGAGGTGATGTGTTCCTTGCCGCGTGGCAAGTCACACGGTGAAGATGGAACATCAAAACCATTTATGAGTGAATGGAAAGTTGACGTCGTTTTCGGGTTTAACATTAATTTTTTAGATAAAATTCATTTGAATTTTTTCAATAAAAATTATTGTAGGAATTTAATTTAATTCTAAATTCAAATTTTGGGTTTCTGAGTGGTTTCCTAAAATTTGTAATTATGGAAATTTAATTTAATTCTAAATTTAAATTTTAAGTTCCTAAGTGGTTTCTTAAAGTTTGTATCTCTTCCTTTATTTATTAAATTATTCAAATAGTTTAGTATATATATATTCATATGGTTTAATATATATATTTCAATAGTTTTTAAATAAAGTCCCAAGCAGTTCAACATGTTGACTTTTCCACCATTGGATCACTTTTCATATGTTTGATTATTAAGTGTTCAAGGCAACGGTTAGATTTGTTTGTTTTCAAACAGGTTGCAGTTTTGTTTCAAATTTTGAACTAAACCTGTTCAAAATCTGTGTCTCACATGTTCGGGTCTAAATGTTTGTCTATATATAGATCAATTTTCCTGCAGTCCAAAAGAGCTGAAATTCAGTCTGCAATCACCCCGGAAATTCAGTCTGTATTTTTTGATATTGCTGTCCTCTTTGCTCTAAGTACATATATTCTTCATATATAATTTTAAGAAAAAATATTCAGAGAGTTAGAACACAGGTTTGATTCGCCGAACAAATTGTTTGGAGTACTACTACAATTTGTGAAGATCATTGTATCCTGGGAGATAGACGGCACTCAACCGTAAGTACCATAGCGAGGCGAATCTGTCTTAAGGACAGAGTGTCACACGCTCGACTTGGTCTTAAGTTATTTATTCGGTTCAACGAAATAAATTCGGTATGTTATTTATTTATTTTGTTTGAATTATTTCAAGTTATTTTATTTACACAGAAGATTGTTCCAACAATCTTAAGACAGAATAAGCATTTGAACCTATTATGACTGGTCTTTATCAATGTTTATTTAGGATATTCGAATTGTTTTCCTACAATTTTTCTTTTATGAGTTTCTTATCAGCATGATGAGATAAAATTTCTAAATGTTGAAATCTGTAATTACAGAATAGAGATGGTGGGTGGGGCTTACACATTGAGGGCCCCAGTACGATGTTTGGTACTTGCTTGAGCTATGTTACTTTGAGATTGCTTGGTGAAGAAGCTGATGATGGGCAAGGGGCAGTGGAGAAAGGACGTAAGTGGCTTTTGGATCATGGTGGTGCCACCGCAATAACATCATGGGGAAAAATGTGGCTTTCAGTTGCGTCCTGATTTTTTATCTTGTTTGTTTTAGTGCTCAACTGACAAAAGTGGTTGGAGATTTCAATAGATGGTTGTATTAGATTCCTTGAATCAATTTCATAACTACATTGTTGATATGTGCTCCATTGGCAAGCTTTTAGAACTAAAATAAATTAGTGAGCTTGCTAGAAAATTGGTACAGAAAAATAGAGATATTGTATATCCATTACTTATATACTTGTAAAATTAACTTTGTTTTTTTAGCAACGAAATTCATAAAAAATGGGCAAAGTCCATTTTACCCACATGTGCTTTTGGACTAAACTACACAATCAACTCTTCCTCTGTAAATAGAAAATACCACCTCCACTAAATTACCACCAATTTTAATGTATAAAAATTAAAGTGTACATAGAGTAATCTCATTTTAAAAAATAATAGTAATAATTTAAGAAATTAAAAATGTAGATGTTTGAAACATTGTAATGGGACCTTTCAGTCTATAAGAAAACTTTTAGGACTAAACAGTGTATAAGTTATTAATTTGGGATTTATTGGTGCATCCCCCTAAAAAGAATATGACTCATTTGTAAAAAGATACAGTAAAAAGAGTGAAGAAAATAAAATGTCACTAGCATATACTAATGTTAATAGCATATAAATACCCATAAAAATATGCATAGAAGAATTTAATAATTACGAAATATGTGCTTACCTAGACATCGGATGCTCAGTATGCTTGGGAAAAGGAAACTCTTTCCTGAGTATATGTAGAAAAAAACAAAATCTACCATTAATAGTTCAAATAGTACAATAATCCATAAAGACGTTGTGAAAAACTTAATTATAGAAATTAATTCCATCACCTGCATAATTCCTAAACTTTGAGTAATCGATCAACCATCACATGATGTAATCATAGGAAACAATTTTCAACGTTTATATAGCCCTTTTACTCAAACATTACACTCGGTTATCTTTACAAATAATGATAAATCAGTTAAAGACAACGGTCCGACATGACCCCGTAAACTGTCCTGCTACATCGGTCCGACATGACCCCGTAAACTGTCTGCTACAACGGTCCGACACGACCATACCGTGTCTTCTACAACGGTCTGACACGACCATACAGTGTCTCCTATCCCATTTTTAATTTTTTAATTGTCAGCTTATTTTTCTATTTTGTTACTCTCTCCAAACTCAAGTTGGCTAATACCTATCCTCCTTAAGTTTGAGGGGGGTTGTTAAACCTACTCCACTAAACCTAACCCACTCCACCTACCACCTCTACTCCACTAAACCTAACCCACTCCACCTACCACCTCTACTCCACTAAACCTAACCCACTCCACCTACCACCTCTACTCCACTAAACCTAACCCACTCCACCTACCACCTCTACTCCACTAAACCTAACCCACTCCACCTACCACCTCTACTCCACTAAACCTAACCCACTCCACCTACCACCTACCACTACCACCTACTCCACTACATCTCCTATATAAGGAGCCCCTCACCACCATTTGTAATATATAGTTGTAATATATAACATACATCAATCAATACATCAATCAATAATATACATCAATTTATTTTACTATACTAATTCTCTCAAAAAGTATAACAATCTCCATTATGAATGTCATTTGGTAGCTGATATAACATATGGTTGATGACATTGTTTGTTTGTCGACTATTTGTTCAACCTCTATCTGGATGTGTGATTGTTTATGTTCAGTTTCATCTACAAATCCCCAACTATTTTGGGGTGCAGACTGTTGGCTGCTCTTACTTACGAACCTGTAAGCATAAAATACGAATGGGTTATAGGAGCAAGAGGCAGTTTCATGAGTCATGTCTCTGCTTATATTTGTAGCGATTTTTGTTGAATTGCTGAACAAAGACAAAGATGACAGTTTCACAAATGTCCTACTGCTGCAGAGGATTTGGTGTGTTACCAATCTTTTGTCAGGATCCATAATAAGGGCAGTTCAGAGTTCTGTTTGAAGATGATAGTCATATAGGAGACTCCTGATTCTGCAGGCTGATTCTGCAGGCCGATTCTGCAGGCCATTTATCTTGGGCCCTTGAAGTTGATTGTGGAGATGTTTGGAGTTGTCTGACACATAATTCTTGCATAAGCTGAACTGTGATGTACTTCAATGTGTCTTTCTGTTTAGAGGTAATGTGTTTGCTTGTAAATGGTGGGGTCTGCATATAGAAAGAGCATGGTGAGACATAGATTGTGATATTTCCATTTCCTCAAAACAAACCAAACTAAGCCTTGCATCCCAATAAAGTGTGGTCGGCTAAACCAAACATCAAACAAAGAAAATTAAATAAAGAGTTACTAAAAAACATGACACTATGCAAGCACATTAGCTCATATCATGCAATCAAAGATTTGATAGTGTTACCATTACTCCCTGGTCATGGGGTGGGTCCAAATCGTTGTGGAGATGGGAAGAGCTTATGAGACTCACATATCTGATACATGCTCCCTTTCCCTGATACATACTCACATCTTGGATGGAAAATTGATTTACATTGTTTATTTGAAAGAAGAATGAGTGACAAATTCATAGAGAAGAGTTAGCTGCATAACAGAGAAGGGAAGAGAGTAATGTGATTACCTAGATGTATGGCAAGTTTAGTTGCATTGTCTTTTAGTTTGGATGTTTCCAGCTGTCATTTGCTTCCACTCTTCTGCACTTGTGAGCTTGGTTCTGGTTTTTTAAAGAACATATTACACTTTTGCATGCAGGTGTACTTGGGCATACATTCCCGTATCGGGTTTGTAAATCTTCTCCCTGATGGCTTCTCTTGGACCCTTTTGAGGTACATTCATGGCGACCAAAGAGTTCATTCTGCTCAACGACTTGTTGCACTGAAGGCAGAATGCAACTCAAAGCTGGCTGTTGCTCTTACAATTATGGAGGAGTGCTTTCTCTCTATGGTGGATTCAAGAACAGGCATAGACATGATACCCCATGTATTGTACAATTGGGGGTAAGTTTTTTTTTCCGTTCGAAAATTTTCTGAACTTTCTTCTGTATCTGGTTTGTGTCCAACTTACATTGATCTTTGTATTTTCAACTTTTTTTTTTTTTTGGGCATGTTATTCTCTCTCTTTCTCTCCGTGATATTGTTTCTTGAGACTGCACAATTATTATACTTTTTTTTTTGAAATTTCAGTTGACTGTCATGTTCAATTGGTGGTTATTTTCTATTCATGTGCATAATGCCAACTTGTGGTTGCATTGTTTACCGGATGATCTCTTATTTTTGTAGTTGGTGCTAATATATGTGCTTGCCAATGTGGTGGTAGTTAAATTTTACTGCTTAACAAATCTGTTGGTTTTTAGCAGATCACATTTTGCACGCCTAAACTATATTGGATTTCACACAGTGGTTTTAGAGAAAGATGATGTGCTGATGTGTGTCGCATCAATCAGGTAGTTTTTATTAGCTGTAATCTTCTCTGTGAAATCTATTTCAATTTGTAACCATTTGCAGTTAGTGCTAATGAAATTATATTAAAGACAATTTGTAAGCTGTACCCCATATTTATAAATATTTGTTTCTCCATATTTTGGGGTTTGGATGTAAAGCTTCTGATTTGAAACATACATTAGCACTCCAGATATTCTACCAGAAGTGGCTATGTAGGTCTCGAGTGAAAATACTCCCTATTCACCTGGGCATTGAAGAAATTATGCTGAGAGTAATGTAACAAATTTAGGTTATCTTATTTCTGAATTTGGGTTACATAGAAAATTCCTATATTTTTTCTATCCTTGATCATGCTATTTATATTGCAAATTCAGCTTTTATTTATTATTTTTTTAAATCATGCTATTTATATATGGAGAGTAGACTTCATAGTTATTGTACCATCTCATGCATCACCTAAGTACAGCTGGCAAATGGTTGTTTTTTCCTTTAGAATGAGAAAAGCTAACTTGGTATATGGTTTTGTACCTTTTTAGTCATTTTCTCTGCAGATTGTCTTCTGGATCCCTTTATAGTTATTACGTTGTAAGCAAGAATTCTATGATGCTTCTTTTCTCCTCATGTACAAGATACCGTGTTGAATATTTTATCTACTAATATTTGTTTAACCGATAGTTTCCAATTGTTACTATGGTTATCTACTAATATTTGTTTAACCGATAGTTTCCAATTGTTACTATGGACTGTTGGTACCAGTCCTGCCTTGGCAATGTTTTAACTATCACCTTGACTTTACATTTGTGGTAAGGTTTGTCAATACATGAAAAAGGTTTTACTTAAGTTGCAAATATAATAGTCTTAAAATGTCAATTTTTTAACTTGGTCAGATTTTGGTGATTTTTAAATAAGATTACAGAGAGCGTTTTAGGCTAGTTTATATGAGTGTGCAATTGTGGTGTTTGGCTATAGTTTTCTCCTTTCATATTATATACATATATGCAATCGTGTATATAAATATAGTTAAATGTTCTACAAAGGAGAAGGTTTTTGGGAACATTATGGGTGTGTTTTGGTATCATTTTAATTTTCTGCTTTTCTGTTCTCAAAAACATAAAAAATGGAACCTCATATGGAAAACTTGTTTGGTGAACTGCGTTTGAAAACTATTTTCGTAAACACTTTTAAATTGAAAATTGTTTCCACATGAAAATAAAAAACAAGGAGTGTTACTGAACTTTTCATAGTTTTTTTTCCCCCAAAACATGAATAACGGAAGTGAAAATTTTGAAAATGATACTAAACAGGGTCAAACTTTATTTTATATGTTTTCCTGGGTTTTGGAATGGGTTGCTTGAATCAAGAATGCAGGATTCATTCACTCTATTTAATTGACCAATTTGTCATCCTTCTTGGGGGATTAGGGTCTACAGGTAGAACCCACGTTTCTTCAGTTATTTCTTCTGTCAACCTGGTATCCAGTGGCTTTGGCAGCATGTTGGAGATAAGTTGAACTAGATGTTCCCCAACAAAAAAATAAAAAAACAAAAAAATTGGCGATTTGGGTTAGGACTAAATGAGGATGAAAGTGAGGTTTGAGATTTATTTTTGACAGAGTGTAAAGGGTGTTTGGCGGTATATGATTGGCTAGTAGGGTAGAGAAGTGTGGATACATTTTGATTTGTATGCTACAATTCAAAAAATTTGTATATGCTTGAGATGAAATTATCCCTGTGAAAAAGACAGTGAACTTCATCTTATTCACAGTCAATTATCCGAGGTTTTTCAATGTGACAAACATGAATTTTGCTTTTGCCTTTGTTTGCTAAATCCATGTATTTCGTTAGAGCATCAGATATTAGATCTCTGTTTTTCTCTGAACATATCTGTTTGGGCTTTTCCTACCCCCATAACTATTTAATATGCTTCATTAAAACATTTCAAATATGGTTTTGTTCTTCTTCTTACTCTTCATATTATTTATTGATAGTTTCTCATTTTTACCAACTCTTTTCTAAATTTATTTTTTGCTCGTCTAGACTTTTAATTTGTAGAATAATCCAGGCAACGTCACATTTAAATTCAAGCTTCAAATTTCATGCAGGATCCATGGAGTAACAGTAGCGGAGATGCCTCTTATTGCAACTTGCAGTAAGTATCGTCGCCGGGGAATGTGTCGGCGCCTCATGAATGCTATTGAAGAGGTAATTTGTTCCATTAAGAAGAACCATCTTGTTCCATAGAGCTTTTTTTTTAGTATTATTTGATAGCAAGCATGGACACTTCAAAATGGGTGCCATGTTCATCTTCAACACGTATCGAATATTGATATGCCGGGAGCATATAAATTTTTTAATTATAATTTTTTTGGAAGACACTTTGGTGATACCGAATGGACATGTGTCTTATGTTTGGACATGCCTCAGGACATCTTTGTGGAATTTCTTTTAAAATTTTTGAGAATTGATTTGGGTCGAAGTAAAATATATGAAAACAAAGAGAAGGGAAAGTGACATTGGTGTCACTTGTATTTCTGTGCCTTAAATTTATATTCATATACATTGCAAATAAGAATATATATATATATATATATATTTCTTGCCACATCCCTTCTGTGTCCATATCTTAATTTTTTTTTTTAAACTTCTTGTGCCAATTTCCATGTCCGTATTTGTGTCCATGCTTCTTAGATTATTTGCTTGAAGAGCCTGCAGACTGCAGTCTCCATTTGGTGATCCAAACTGTTACCATTGCGATGAGCAATGAAACCTCATATATTGGAGAAACTTTGTACCTTTTGATTTTCTTAGTCTTTTATTTTTTTTTTCATATATGCGAGTTATTAATTTATTAATCCACTGTGGTTGTAGATGCTAAGATCTTTCAAGGTCGAAAAGCTTGTGATATCAGCCATTCCTAGTCTGGTTGAGACATGGACAGTTGGGTTTGGCTTTAAACCCTTGGAAGATAACGAGAGAAATAGCCTGAGTAACATCAACTTGATGGTTTTTCCCGGAACTGTATGGTTGAAGAAGCCCATTTATCAAAGTCAAACAACAAATCAACCAAGTGGTGAGCATTTTCTTTCCTGCTCTTGGGTGTTGTTTGGTATATTGACAATTTACTATTTTTGTTTACATAAAATTTTAAACTTGTTTATGTTTTTTTTTCAGTAAAACCGATAACAAAAAAATATGTTTGACACAAACTTGTATTTTTTAAACTTATTTTGAAAATAAGTGTATTGGGGGGGTGTTGCGTGATGGTTGAAAATTTGTTGACGGTCAAAGATGGTGGCCGGAGGTGGTTGGCTCTAATGGGAGGTGGTTTCTTGTGGCCAAAGGTGGTTGTCAGGTGATGGAGGTGGTTGCCGAAGCCAGTGAGAGGTGGTTGGCCATTGCAAGAGGTGGTGGCTGGAGGAGGTGGACAGGATGGAAAATGATTAATTTATTTTTTCTGAAGTGAAACCAATTTTTTTGTCAGTACAAGAATTTTGTAAATTATGTAAATTGTTTACAAATTTTTTAAAATGAAAATAAACACCAAATGCGTTTTATTTATAGTTTTTAAATTATTATTTTTTTGTAAATACGAACCAATAATTTACCTCAGTTACCCCTTTTATTATTTTCCAATTCTCTGAACTGAATTATAAAAATTTCTTGGGAAATACAGGATCAGGTCATGCATCGCCTTCGATTGTATGATCCAGCTGAAACGGGTGCATGCTCCCAACTAGGGCCTGCCATTGGAAACTCCTCAGTTACAGAAAGAGAACATACTGGCTGCAATATTATGCAAGTAGATGAAGCCCAGGATGGTAGTTTGCAAAAACATTTTTCGAAGTTGTCCTGCGAAGAACTGGCTTCAACAGTAGGGACATCCAGACTTGAAATGGTTTGTGATGTAGAATCTGTTGTTATGTATGATGAGAGAGAACTTTCTTCGACGCAGTCATGCAGAGAACCGGCTTCAACTGTAGGGACATCCCGGCTTGAAATGGTTTGTGATGTAGAATCTGTTGTTATGTATGATGAGAGAGAACTTTCTGCGAATGAACAGTTGCAGAAAACCAATATGTTGCAAGATAATGAGAAATAAAAATAAAATTTCAAAAAAGCTTGTATTGTGCTCTGAAGGATTATTGTGTAGCAGTATTTGTGAGGTCTTTATGGGGTAAATAGAAGAAGAAAAAAAGAGAATAACGGAGGTGGGAAGGGAAGATAATAACGTTGCAGTCTTGCAGATGACATGATAATGGCGGCATGGAGGCTAATTTGATATCAAATAGTACAAATTCTTTGATAGAATTTACCATTGAAAATCGACGATATTATCATGGTAACATGTTGGATAATTTGATATCAAATAGATAGTGCATATTCTATGTCTAATTTGATATGAAATAGATAGTACAAATTATTTGATAGAATTTATCATTGAAAATCGACTTGTAAGGGGAGAAGAGGGGAGGGGTTTTATGTTTACTTGGCCAAGTGTTGGTAAAATTTCTTCTCTCTCATATGGTTTACAAATGATATTTTGACTTGGCTTTTTATGAAGAGAATAAGTGAATAACTTTTGTACTATTGAAAATATAATTTTAAAATATAAGCTTTTGACGTTGTTTATTAATTTATAATGAATGAAGAATGTGAATTTTTTAAGTGTGAAGGTTATAAATGTGAAAATTTTGTCCAAAAAAAAAAGAAAAAAAAGAAGAAGAAGAAAAAGTTTACATTATTTTATTCATTATAAGTGTAATATTCAGAATTAAATTGTGATACATTAAGTGTGAATTTTACATTTTTAATTAACAAACTTATTAAAATGCTATGTTATATAATAAATATGTTGAACATATTGATATACATACTATGCAAACATTTACAATATATATAATAATAACAATAATAATAATAATAATAATAATAATAATAATAATAGATTGATCATTTATTATATAAATCTCAACAAAATAAGGGTATCATTAATCAAATTGAAGAAAAACAAATCAAAGCAAAGTAGAGTGGAAAAGAAAAAGCCCAGGAATGAAGGAATTGAAAAACCTTATCAGTTTGAGGATCGTTGATGAAGAAGATTTAGAGGAAGTTTTGGAGGACAACCTTTATATATTCTCTCGTCATTGCGACCATAGCTGAGTGCTTCGCCGATGATGAGGAGTTCAAATTGGATTCGATTTAGTGCCTAGGTTATGGCGACGATCGACGATGTAGTCAGGGAGGCGATGATGGGACTTATGGCTAGAAAGAGAGAGAGAGAGAGAGAGAGAGAGAGAGAGAAGATCAGTGGCGTGAGAGTAAGAGAGACTGGATTCGATTTGGTACACAAGCCATGGCGGCGATCAACGATGGAGTCATGGCAGTGAAGGTGGGACTCATGGCCAGAGCGAGAAAGAAAGAGAGAAAAGAGAAGAGAGAGAGAAGGGAGATTGGTGGCGTGAGAGTGAGAGACCACTACAAGAATTAACACTTTTGCCGACCAAAAAATTGGTCGCTAAAAGCCCATTTTTGGTCGGCAAAAGTTATCCGCGACCAATTTTTTTGGTCGCTACTTTGGTCGCCAATTGAGGGTCGGCAAAAGTAATAATTAGGGTAAAAATCATACCAAATGACTACCAAATATAAATAACAGAAATATGCCACATATAGGCTACCAAACTCATATTGAGTTTAAGAAATAGACCCTACCTCTTGAAGCGAAGAGGAGAACTCGAAAAAACTTAAAGTCAATGAAACCATGAAACTCTTGGATCAAAAGAAAACCCTTGACAAGATTTACAACCTTTCTCAAAGGACTAAGGTGAAAAGATGCCTCTAACCAAGTAGATCTATAGATCTATGTAAGAAATGTTGAGTTTCTAAGAGAGAGAAAAAAAGGGAAAAAGTGAATGGGAAAAGTGTGTTTGGGTTCTATTTATAGTGGTAGAATAACAGTCATAAAGTCGAAGGAAAGAATAAGTCAAACCCCAAAAAGTGGAGCCCAAAACCGAACCAAATATCTGGAAATTAACTTACAGGGGTCGACCCTTCAGATATTGGTGTTGACTCTCAAGAAGAAAAGCTGAGACACTAATGTGTGCAGAGGGTAAGGGTCTCAACTCTTTACTTCAGAATACAACCCAGAACAAAACAGTAAGGGAAAGCTCGATTGGAACCCCTGGTTTTTTAATGTTGTTAAAAAATTAAATTTATATATTAAATAAAATTATTTTTTTAGTGTTGTTAATTTAAAATTATATATTAAATAAAAAATATAAATTATAAATTTAATTTAATTGAAAATAATAAATTAAAAATTATGGCCTTATAAATTAAATTTTTTTAGTGTTGTTAAATTATAAATTATAGATTACAAATTTAAAATTATATATTAAATAAAAAATATAAATTATAAATTTAATTTAATTGAAAATAATAAATTAAAAATTATGGCCTTATAAATTAAATTTTTTTAGTGTTGTTAAATTATAAATTATAGATTACAAATTTAAAATTATATATTAAATAAAAATTATAAATTACAAGGGTAAAATAGTCTTTTGAACATTTATCCTTATTCAGTTCGTCTAACCAAATATTGGATTCACTAAAAATAGTTCAATCCAGACATATAATCCCATGACTAAACAAACATAGGATACAAATCCAGTCCAACCAAATAGACCAGGGACAATATATCCCGGGACTAATAGTCCGATGGATTACAATCCCCCTTATCTAGTCCGTCCAAACAAACACTCCCTTAAGTTTTCTAACTTTTTTCTTGAGTGGCATTGGATCTTCATTGTAGGAGTGTAAAAATGGCATATGGTCCGTGGGTCCGGGCTTGAGCTCAACCCGAGAATTGGGCCTGAGCCATCATTTTGAAGCTCGGTCTTGCCCGTGGACTCGGCCCATCGGCTCGCTTAAGGCCTACTCAAGGTTCAGCTCGTCCGAAGCCTAGTGTCTTTTTTAGTGAAAAATAATAAAATTTTAGTAGAAAAAATATATTAAAAAAAATAAAAAAAAATGTTCAAGACGGCCCAAGCCCAAGCCTACCGGCCCCGCTTGAGTCCTGGCTCAAGGCCCGAATACCCCTTGCACCTGGGCCTAATTTTCTGGCTCGAATTTTGACAAAAGCCTGCGAGACCCGACATAGGCTAGGCCAGGCCAAGCCAAGCCAACTCGCTTAAGGCCTACTCAAGGTTTAGCTCGTCCGAAGCCTAGTGTCTTTTTTAGTAAAAAATAATAAAATTTTAGTAGAAAAAATATATTAAAAAAAATAAAAAAAATGTTCAAGATGGCCCAAGCCCAAGCCTACCGGCCCCGCTTGAGTCCTGGCTCAAGGCCCGAATACCCCTTGCACCTGGGCCTAATTTTCTGGCTCGAATTTTGACAAAAGCCTGCGAGACCCGACATAGGCTAGGCCGGGCCAAGCCAAGCCAAATTTACCCCCCTACTTCAACGATATTCTTTTATTTTTAATTTGTGGTTTGATTGACATATATTGCTTTGGTTTGAACCATGATGTGTTGTTTTGTAATATGAAAGGACTAAAGTGAAAGGATTAAAAATATTTTTTTATTACTGAGAACTTGTATAATTACTCATACGTCTATTATGTAATTCTGAATGACGTATCCATAAACTTAGAGATGCAAGCTGTAACGCCCTCAAAATAATACATATAAACCCAACATTCATGATATACATAGACAAGAGAATAAAACATATTTCCATTCATCAGAGTATTCTTACAAAAGTAATACATGTTGACAACAAAAGTAAATGTCCTGTAGGCTTACAACTTTCCAAGTTAACACTTGGTTACGACAAAAGAAGAGTTCTAACTCTCTACACAAATAAGCCCTTGGCTTGAATTTACATGTATCACCAAAATATTAAAATAACCAAAAGAGTCTTTAACTCCCAAAACCATCCAAGCTAAGGCTTTGGGGGCGGCATAACACTTGAAGCTGAAAATAATGTCCCATATAGGGTGGGCCAACGCCCACTAGAGATATGCTAAACATAATATAAGCAATAACTAAAACATTGGCATTTGATAAATGTTTAACTTATATAAACGAACAAACATCTTTTTCCATTTCATAATCCAAACCAATTCATAGATATGGTTCCCTGTTCAGTCAAACAGTTCATAATGAGCCTACAACTCATATAAACAACACTTCAACGATTCAATTTCAAATGAGACTACAAATCATATTAACAATACTTCAATTCATCTACGTTATGCAAACACAATTAGGATTTCGGGACTTTCACCCTGGACACTCCGGCCAACTTAGTTATCACTAGAGTCCATCCCCTATCTCCTCCCAAATCCAATTTAGGAGTCCATCCTCTATCTCCTCCCAAACCGTAGAGTACATTCCCTATCTTCTCCCAAACAACATACATATACAATTTATTAGCAAAGCACATATTCAATATGTTATTTCTTCCGTCATATTCAATGGTATACTCAATTGATTAATTATAATTCACCTAATCATCATGCAGTGTCTACAACACTCAAGACTATCTTCCACCGATAGCCCAAGACAATTATTTCTAAACAGAAAATAAATTATCAAACAGATAAATTACCTACGATTTCAAAGTTGAGTGATTAATCAATCCAACTCTACCATTGAATCTCATAATTACCCAATTTCATTATTTCCAACTCAATTTCATATTTCCGTAACTTTCCCAAATTAATTCATCATAATAAATTAGGACTTTTCTCCCCATTTTCTCAACATTGACCCAAAGGTCTAAATATCATCAATAAGCATCTATAACCTCAATTTATGACCCAAAATACACATGTATTAGTCAAAAGAACAAAACCCTTATTTATACATTTTGAAACCCTAACACCCAAAATTACCTAACTTCAACATTAAATAAAAAAGACCACATGTTTATGTCAAAGACCATAAATATGAGTAGTTATCCCTACCTCAAATTTCGGAGCTCAACGGAGATGATGAACAAACTCGGAAGTGCTCCAAACCCTAAGTGTAATAACCCACATTCTTATCGTAGTCATGTTCATGTGCACTTGCATAACCTTGTCTTATTAAGTTTACATTCATGAATCTTATCTTGTTTTGCCTAAGTGTTATGCGCATGCTTTGTTCCTTCCTTGCCATCTCAAGCCTAAGTCATGATCAAGCCTAGGTTATTTCGAGTCGAGGTCATCCTAAGCCTAGAACCACCTTGGAACCACTTTGGTTGACCCCTACCTTCGTCCTGGCATATTGGCCAAGATGAGTATCGTCTAGGCCGAGATGTCACCCTTGCACCAAAGTGATCTTGTCCCGGAGAGGTA